ATGGTAAAAGTTATAGCACGAACCTTGCTTATACACCTCCTGAGTATTTAAGAAATGGTAAAGTTTCTAACTTCTTTCTCTGTTGACTTTTAACTTTTTCTTACTTGAGCTTATACACCTCCTGAGTATTGGATACTGATGTTATGTGGGATCGGAACTTTTGGGGCTTGGCTAAATCTCCTCACACAGTACAATCATTTTGTGATGTTGGCACTTAATGTGAAAAGAGATGAGGATTCCATGTGTGTTATATATGCGGATTCCGTTTGTGTTTTCATTTTCTCTTTGACAGATGATCACTTAAGATTTTGCTTGATGGTCAAGTACTATCACTAGTCTGATACTGGAAATTGGTAGCTAGGTGGTGGGTGTGGGGATGGGACTATAACCCCGTAGGGCAGTTCACTAAGAAGAGATTTTCATGTATCTCAGACCCTTTGAGTGATTTTGGAATTCCAATCCTACATAACCATGTATTACTCCTGGGATGCTGGTGTTATACAATTATGTTCCGATAGTTCTATTACATTTCTGCTTTCAGTACGTTTCTTTTTTTTTTTGGAGAAGGGGGAGATGGAACTTAAATATGACAATTGAAAAAGGCAAGATGCCATTATGAGCTACATTAGTGATTCTATTGATATCTAACACTTTCTATTTATCATCATTTTCATTGTTAACTTATATTAGGGGAGGAATAATTTCTTGTTTATTTGCAGGAAGAGTTACTCAAGAAAGTGTTGTTTTCAGCTATGGAACTGTCCTTTTGGATCTGCTAAGTGGAAAACATATTCCTCCTGGTCATGTAAGTTTCTAAGAGTCTGTTTGTCAGTTGTACATCCATTTCTTCTTGCTGCAAGTCTCGGGGAGTACCACCTCATGATGATGGGAACACTTCATACTGCATTTATGTGCTGGTGCTCTGGAAATTATTTGAAGGGGCCATATACGACTTTTGTTGTTGGACTAGCAATAGGAGGGCATTTGGACATTAGGCTGGGAACAGAGTTTGAAACTGTTTTGACTAAGCTAAACATCCACATACTTTTTATGTACCTTTGCTTAACTTTTTAACTGAAGAGGAAGAAATTCGTTTGACGTTAACATTCATGTTGAGTATATTTCTTACACTTTCTCTTGGAAGAGCATTCCTTATTGGCGTTTACCTTTATTTTTGTTTTATAATTTCTCTCCCCCTTTTTATGCAACTGTTTTAAATATCAACTTTGAAATTTATGTGCTCAGTTCATTCCTTTATGTTTCAGGCACTAGATATGATACGGGGCAAAAACATTCTTCTATTAATGGATTCACATTTGGAGGGAAATTTCTCGACAGAAGAGGCAACCGTTGTATTTGATCTGGCTTCACGCTGCTTGCAGTATGAACCCAGGGAGCGACCAAATACCAAAGACCTCGTTTCAACACTTGGTCCATTGCAAAGTAAACCTGATGTTAGTCCTACCGCCATAGTGTACTCTATTTTTCTTGATGTCTTGTTCTCTATCCTCCCCCCTTCCAAAAGATATGCGAAAAAAAACTCATATTGTCGTTGAATTTTGTGGGCTTTCATCAAGCAGAATTACCAAATGTCGTGAATGTAATCTTGCCGCCTCATTTCTCCTCTATCTTAAGATGCCCCCACATCCTCGCCTTTCTGTATGCATGTATGCACATCTTCTGTTCTTTTTGTCATGGGCAATTATGAGCAACTGCTCTTGGCAGGAACTTTGACTCTGTTTTCATTAGTCTAGACTCTTATTGATTGCTTTGTCTTATTCCATTAGAGGTTGAAAGGAGTTTCTGGTATTCTGGTTGCAGGTCGCATCTCATGTAATGTTGGGTATTCCTAAGCCTGAGGAAGCTCCGCCAACTCCACAGCACCCTCTTTCTGCAATGGGTGATGCTTGTTCGAGAATGGATCTCACAGCTATTCATCAGATTTTGGTAATGACACATTATAAAGACGATGAAGGGACAAATGAGGTAATTCTTTTGACCCAAACTGCCTCTGCAGAAGTGTCTGTTTCTTTGACATCCTTATATTGATGCTGGACGCCCAATGATGCAGTTGTCTTTCCAAGAGTGGACTCAACAGATGAGGGATATGCTAGAGGCAAGAAAGCGGGGAGACTTGGCATTTCGGGACAAGGACTTTAAAACTGCCATAGATTGCTATTCTCAGGTATTTGCATTCATTTTAGTAAGGTCGTTATCGGCAATAAAAATACTTTGATGCAGTCGTGACTTAAGGTAGACTAAAATATGATTCATTGTATTTCATACTAACTCCTGAAAACCATTTATACAATTGGATGCCATAACTAGTACTCCCTTGATTGAATAGAGACATGAGTCTCCTTTTGGGGTGGGAATGACAGGTTTTGTGCCACTTTTTGGGTGGGTTCATTGACATTCCCCAAATCTATTATGTACCTGATTTAGAATTTCAAACTGGTGCATCTCCTTGAAATTTCAGTTTCCTTTAGAGCCATCTAAATTCAACCATTTAACAGAAGACCAAAATGTAAATGGGGCCTGTACGTAGCCTCATTCACCAAGTTGGTGACATTTCGGTTATTTGTATAACCAGTGAATCATCCTTGGCCAATAATCCAAGGAATAGACTCAATGCATTCTTGACATGTAGTTTGATACTGTAGCTGGTTTGGCTCACCGGGTTGTGACATGTTGGTTATTTGAGTGACTGGTAAAATCTGCCATGTTAAATGGGACATCCAATGCATAGGCTCCATTCTATGCTGATATTGTAGCATGACGTAAACTGCCTTTTGAAGAATGAGATTCCTGCAGATTTGGCAGGGAGAAATTTGCAGCTCCATTTGATGCTTTACTCAATCATCTTTTCTGCAATAGTATAGGCCTCTTGAATTCTTGTTATACGTCATTGTTATTAGCTAGTAAATGATGATCTAGCTGATTTTAGGTTACATAGAGTGCTTTTATTGGCTTATTTATCTGGATAAGATGAATGAACTAAAGAATATACATTAGGGCAATTTGCTTATTTTCGTTTCTCATTGCAGTTCGTAGATGTGGGAACAATGGTGTCTCCAACTGTCTATGCACGAAGAAGTCTTTGTTATCTCATGTGTGATCAACCAGATGCCGCCCTTCGAGATGCAATGCAAGCACAATGTGTCTACCCAGATTGGTCTACTGCATTTTACATGCAAGCAGTTGCACTCTCCAAGCTAGACATGCACAAAGATGCAGCTGACATGTTGAATGAAGCTGCAATTCTCGAAGAGAAAAAACGAAGTGGAAGAGGATCTTGATCTTGATAATACCCGACTTGTATCATTCTTTTGGTCCTATCATTTATTCTTGTCACCAAAAAATTAGCCTAAAGTTCTTGTATCATTTGTTTGAGTGTGATTGCCTTAGAACTATGTATGACAAAGGAAGAGAATCATTTGCTTGGTTGGTAAATGCGCATGTCAAGTTTTTCACTCTAATTTGTCAAAATATGAAAATAATTTGTATGTATATTTTGTCAATACAACAGAGTGGTGAGGATATATTGGTGAAATCATGAAATGTATAGCTCGGCCTTGCCATCGATGAAAAGGCTCATGAACTCTTCACCATCAACAGTTTCTTTCTCTATCAACAGCTGAGCAAGCTTGTGTAGGATGTCAATGTGTGTTGTGATAATCTCTGTTGCCCTTTCATATGCTCTTTCAACCAATTCCCTTACTTCAGCATCAACCACATCGGCTGTAGCCATGGAGTAGTCTTTCTGGGTTGACATCTGAAATTAAACGACGAAAATGTTAAGGCATGATTAAAAATTCGTGCAGCATTGAAACGAAAAAGACAACTTGCACGAAGCATGTACCTGTTGACCTAGGAAAGGATTTCCTCCACCTCCTCCAATGGCAACTTGTCCAATCTTTTTGCTGAACCCTAATCTCTCAACCATCTGCCTTGCCACTCGTGAAACTTGCATGAAATCGTTAGATGCCCCAGTTGTTACGTTATCTTGTCCAAAAATAACCTCCTCAGCAACCCTGGAAGAGCGGGGGGGGAGTTGAGAAATGGAATTGGGCATTTAGTGTATGAGGTAAGCAAGTAATGGATGAGTTAAAAAGATCATCTACCCTAAGAACCCAGCCCTCCGATCTATTAGAAGTAACTATACAAGGAGGAAATAGTGTGCAGTTTGATACTTCAGTCATATTATAAGGGGCAAATAACCAACTTCAAGATAGACTGGAGTAATAAATATCTAAACAGGTGCAAAAGGATGAACATGAACATTGCACAATAGGTAAAACTGACCTTCCACCAAGTGCAACTGCCATTTGATTCTCTAGGTAGCTCCTGCTGTACAAGCCCGACTCAAGTCTTTCTTCGCTGGGGGCAAAGAAGGTAAGACCACCAGCTTGGCCTCGAGGAATTATAGATATCTTGGCAACAGGATCATACTCGGGCATAAGTGCACCAACCAAGGCATGGCCGGCCTCTGTAATCCAAATGTAAACACGCCATAAAAAAGAGTGACTACTAACTGACTAAGTGTGTTATTTAGTTTTTTTTCATACCATGATAAGCTACCAGCTTCTTCTTCTCATCTGAGACAACAGCATTTTTCTTCTCTGGGCCGGCAATTATCCTCTCCAGAGCATCAGATATCTCATCTTTACTTATTTCCTTTAGTTCACGCCTAGCTGCAAGGATTGCTGCTTCGTTCATCAAGTTTTGCAAATCTGCACCAGTGAAACCCGGTGTTCTCCTGGCAATCTTCTCAAAGTCCACATCCTTTGCAAGGGCCTTTCCTCTAGAATGCACCTGTCATGCATAATGGTAAGACAAGCAGTTCAACAAACAGAAAACATTTTTCGAGAAAGCAGAAGTCTGTTTTCCAGATTTGGGGACTGCACTTGTGTTTAACACTAGTATACTCAGTTTTTGATATAACAACTGTAAAAACCACACTTTCCGGGAAATCTTAGTAGCACAGTTTGTTACTACTTGGTTGGCTACCTGAACTTTCACCTTGTTGGTGAGAGTTTGATTCCCCGCCTTGTATTCCCCTCCCCCATTTCCTTTCCCCTACCCCCTATGTACTAGAAAATATTTTAAAAAATACCACGATTTTCAAATTGGAACTCCTCAAGCTTGTTCAGCAACACTTTCACCAAGTTACGACGTTTTTTCAATAGATCAAGAAAATACATTATTAACACTCACATTACCTCAAGGCACAGACGTATCACATTATTGTCTACCATATGAAGTATGTCCATAAAATATGAAATTGCAAATTTGTTAATTTCGATCTCTACATATCACTACTTCTGAGTTTCTTCCAAAGGATAATGAATGAGGAAACCAACACTAGACAAGAACAAGCATAAAGTTGAAGCCAAGAGAAGAAGAATACACTAACCTGAAGAATCTTGATTCTACCAGCAACATCAGGCCTATCGACAGTCACTTGTCGATCGAACCTCCCAGGTCTCAACAATGCAGAATCAAGAACATCAGGCCTATTAGTTGCAGCCAAAACAATGACTCCACTATTTCCAGAAAACCCATCCATTTCAGTCAAGAGTTGATTAATAGTCTGCTCTCTCTCATCATTCCCACCTCCCATTCCTGCACCTCTCTGCCTCCCCACAGCATCAATCTCATCAATAAACACAATGCAAGGCGCTTTCGACTTCGCCTTCTCGAACAAATCCCTCACTCTAGAAGCTCCAACACCAACAAACAACTCAACAAACTCTGATGCTGCACATGAGAAAAATGGTACACCAGCTTCACCAGCAACTGCTCTAGCCAAAAGTGTCTTTCCTGTACCAGGTGGTCCCACCAAAAGACACCCTTTTGGTATTTTAGCACCTAAAGCTGTATACTTATCAGGATTCTTTAAAAAATCAACCACTTCTTGTAACTCCAATTTAGCTTGATCAGCACCAGCAACATCAGCAAAAGTCACTCCAGTTTCAGGAACTTCTTGAAACTTTGACTTTGACCTACCAAAATCCATGGGGCCACCAAGCCCACCTGGCCCACCAGGCCCACCTTGAGATCTCTGGAAAAGATAGAACAATCCAGCAAAAGCAATAAAAGGGAATAAATTTCCAATTAAATTAAACAACCCATTACCAGCAGAATCACCTTCAGAAACTGATATATCAACACCATTCATAGCCAAAATGTCAATTAAATCCGGGTCATTAGGCACAGTTACAGTAGCTCTACGGCCATCAACAGCAGTAAGCTGGAGGGCAGATCCGTCTTTACTGAATCGGACCCTTTCAACTTTACCCTTTTTCACAGCATTCAAGAATTCACTGTATCTCCATTGAGAAACTTCTGGAAGTTCAGGATTGGTCTGTGCTTGAGGCTTTGGAGCATTCAAGATTATATTTTGAGAGAATGGATTTGAAGTGCTGGGATTGGCTGCTTCAGCTTGAATCACTTGAGGAGTTGGTACTGTAGGGGTAGTATTGTCAAGAGCAAAGGCATGTGGAGTGATTGAAGAAAATAGTAAAGCAGCTAAAGCAGCTTTTGAAGGAATATTCTTTAAATTATCTGAATTGGGTTTTTTGTTGAGAATTGATTGAGGGATTAAAGACTTTCTTTTGGAGTGAAAATGGAAATATTTTGTGGTTTTAGGTGTGGGAGGAGAGACAAAGATTTGAGAACCAAAGAAGTTGGAAGAGAGCAGAGAATTGGCCATAACTAAATTTGGAAGGTGTTTGTTTGATTTGGTCTTAGTTGTACTACTGATCAATTCTTGTTCTTAAATTTTGGGGAATATGGAGATTTTTTTCTTTCTAAAACAGTGGGGTAAAAGGCAATCATATATGCAATTCTTTGAGAGGTGTTGAATATGGAGAGCTTTAAGTTGGTCTTTGCTAATTCTTTGAGATGTGTTGAATAGAAGCCATAGATTTGGATGTTGCGTGGATTGTTGTACGTGTTATAAATGTTATCCAGGCAGTTTTTGATATTTATGCTGTCTACGTGGGAAAATAAAGAGCCCGCAAATACTCACAGAACAGTTATTTGGAAATGCAAGAGACCTCAAGCTTACCTTCACTGCTCAATAGCAAGAAATTGGGCTAAAAATACGGGGGTACAAGGAAGCAGTAGTTCGGCCATGTATTGCAAGGCCCATATCATGCTCATCTCTAAGTTATTTGTACCAGGCCCATTGGATCATTCATAAGAAGGTGGCCCAAGTCCAAGGGAAGGGATCTGCCTTATGTCCTAGTTACAAGGAAAAATTACGCGACACATCAAATATATACACTGTATTTATCATTTGTAGTATCGCGACCCAAAATCTCACATGTCGTGATGACGTCTATCTCAATACTAGGCAAGCCGACAACCCCAATAAAACACTATATCTTTTAAGTTTGAAAATAAAATACTGAATTAAATAGAAAACCTCACCATTACAGATACAAAACACTTCCAAAACTCGGTGTCACTGAGTACATGAGCATCTAAATGAATACAAAGCCTGACTGATAAAAACACTGTCTGAAAGTATAAAAGAGTACAATAACTGAAAGAAAGAGAGTCAAGGTCAGCGGACGCCAGGAAGCACTCTGAAATCTAACAGTCGCCCTGTCCGAAAGCACCTAGATCTGCACACGAGGTGCAGAGTGTAGTATGAGTACAACCAACTCAATAAGTAACAAGACTATCCTTTGGGCTGTAAGTAGTGACGAGCTCCACAAGTACAGTCTAGTATAGAAATAACGGTATAGAAATGTAGGAATGCTTTCAAGTTTGACAGTTAAACTCAGTACAAGTAAGATAGATCAATACTGCATGATATGAGGAATATCACATCTCAGTGGAAAACTTCGTGTACACAGGATCACTAACCACTCGGTCACTCGGTACTGTTTATGGCCAATCCAGCCTAGGGATATTCCACCCCATTTATATATGCATCGACTGACAGTCAGTCACTCAGTACCGTATAAGGCCAATCCAGCCTTGGGGTAATTTACCCCAAATGTAAATGATTCGGACAAGATCCATGTCCAGAGAAATTCATCACAAATATAAATAAGGCAAGTCCATGCCCTAGGAAATCCATCCCGTATATAAATCATCTACGCTCACTGTGGGGGGTGCAAACTCCGGAGGGGCTCATTCAGCCCAAGCGTGATATAAAGCCGATATGGCCTACTGCAGGCAGGCAGCCCCGATCTATATAATGAAAAAGCCTATAAGTCCTGCTGCAAGCGGGCAACCCCGTTCTATATAATAATAATATATATAAAGCCGATATGGCCTGCTGCATGCGGGCAATCCCGATCCCATAAATATCCTCACAATGGATGAACATGACTGAGTATGAAATATATATTTTTAAAATAATTAAATTCAACAGCAACACGACCCTGTGGGTCCCAAAATATCGGCACATAGCCTAATCATGATCTTTAATACGAGTCTTAGCTCAATTTCCTAACACGTGGGGAATATGAGAATAATAACATGATTTTTTAATTTTACAACTTCACAGGATTTATTCAAGTCATAATTTTTATGGTGCACGTCCACACGCTCGTCACCTATTGTGTGTGTCGCCTCCAAACAATTTATATAACACCAAATTCGGGGATTCATACCCTCAGAACTAAGTTTAGAAGTGTTACTTATCTCAAACCGTATAATTTCTTACTCCGCTATGCCCTTGCCTTGCGAATTGGTCTCCGAAAGTCTCGAATCTAGTCATAATTAATTTGATTCAGTCAATACAGTTTATTGGAATTAATTCCATATGAAAATACTAATTTTCCAACAAAATTTGAAATTTAACTCAAACATTGCCCATGGGGCCCACGTCTCGGAACTCGACAAAAATTATAAAATATGAACGCTCTTTCAACCACGAGTCTAACCATACCAAATTTACCAAATTCTGACATCAACTCGACCTCCAAATCTCAAATTCTTATTTTGAAATCCCTAGGCCCAAATTCTCTAATTTCACCTAAAACATGTAATCTAGTCGAAATACTCAATGATAATCCAATATTATTGACTAACAATGATCACAAGTGGCTTACCTCAAGATTTTCCATGAATTCTCGCTCAAAAATCGCCTCAACCCGTGTTGGAAATGTTAGAAATGAAGCCAAAATTGCGGACCCTTCTTTTTTAACATTCTGTCGAGGCTTTTCGCACTTGCGACTCCCTATCGCACCTGCGGAACCGCTTCTGTGGTGTATTTTCCGCTTCTGCGGAAGACACGCCAAGTCCTCGACTCGTACACCTGCGGGTGCGCTTCTGCGAACCCCTCACCGCGCCTGCGACCACGCAGGTGAGGAAATAGCTTTGCACCTGCGAGCTCTGACCACCCTAAGACTGGCCGCATCTACGCTTCACTCCTCACACCTGCGAGCTTGCACCTGCGACCAAAGTTCCGTAGGTGCGATTGCACCAGAAGACTGAAATTTTCAGATTTTTTCTTATGTCCGAATTTGATCCATTAACTATCTGAAACTGCCCGAGGCCCCCAGGACCTCAACCAAATACATCACCAAGTCCTAAAATATCATACGAACTTAGTCGAAACCTCAAATCAAATCAAACAACGCTAAAATCACGAATCATACCCCAATTCAAGCTTAATGAAATTAAGAATTTTTAACTTCTACATTCGATGCCGAAACCTATCAAATCAAGTCTGATTGACCTCAAATTTTGTACACAGGTCATAAACGACATAACGGACCTATTCAAATTTCCAGAATCGGATTCCGACCCCAATATCAAAAAGTCAATTCCCCTGTCAAACTTCCAAACTTAAATTTCTATTTTAGCCATTTCAAGCCTAATTTAACTACGGACTTTTAAATAATTTTTCGGACACGCTCCTAAGTCTAAAATCACCATACAGAGCTATTGAAATCATCAAAATTCTATTTCGGGGTCGTTTACACATAAGTCAACATCCGGGCAACCTTTTCAACTTAAGTTTCCATCTTGGAGACTAAGTGTCTCAACTCATTTCAAAACCTCACCGGACTCGAACCAATTATCCCGGCAAGTCATATAACAATTATAAAGCATATATTGAGCAATAAATAGGAGAACAGGGTTGTAATACTCAAAACGACCGGCCGGGTCATTACATATAGCTATACTTTCAACAAATTTACCATTCGTAGTTATATTTGAATTTTATAGCAGATCCATGAAACAAGAGATTAATTATATTGAACTGAAACAAGAGAGCAACAAGCGCTCGTAGCTCAGTTGGTTAGCGCGCATGCTTAGTTAGCGAAGGTCTTGAGTTCGACTATCAACAATAGCATTTTATTTTTTCTATATTTATGTATTTCGCTTTGCTTATATTCGTTGCGCGAATGAATACTCCTTTGTATACACCTCTGTATACAGTCGATACATGTTGTATCCTTTGTATAAACCCTTGTATTTCGCCTTGGCTACAGTTGATACATGTTGTATTTGTTGCGTGAATGAATACAATTGCACGAATGAATACAATTGATACAAGTAGTATTCATTGCACGAATGAATACAATTGACACATGTTGTATTCATTGCGCGTTTGAATACAACTGATACAAGTTGGTAATAATTGAACAGTAGCTACGAATGATAATTAGGCAAACTATAGTTACTAGGTTCTAAACTAGAGTAGTTTATGAAAATTCCTCTTAATAATTCTCGTCTTAATGTAGTAGAAATGACACTAGCTACGAATCGTATGGCTTCGCCACCGCTTGTAGCGTCCTTATTTAAAACATTCAATTTTTAAAAACTATTTAAAATCACCTAGTTTTGGCAATCTTCAGACGAACCTTTTGAAATTGGGCTAGCCAACTCCTAACTTCATATTTGTATGGCTTAAGTTGATTCTAAGGTAGCTAAATTATATTTAAAAAAAATCTTGTAAATTTAGTCTATTCTTTAAATAGGGGGTCCTAAAAACAGTTATTTATGCACTTCCTGCATTAATATAGCCTATAAGGTTTTTGGAATAAGTGCATAGGGACAATGTTCAACTGCAAGTGTGAAGATATGAAAGGAAAAAAATTTCCAATTAAATCATTTTACTATTCCACTTACACCTGTTTTAAAGCCATTTCTAAGAAACAGTGTCACAAGCTTACTGTTGTATATAGGAGTAGTGAATTGGATTAAAGGACTGGTACACTGAACCGCACAAACATCTAGCCCCTTGACATGTGAGTTGATCACATTTATCTCAAACGTGTGCAATTGATATAATTTAGATATGACAGGCTTTCAAGATCCTTATTGCTCCCTAAAAAAAAAAATAACTCTGGTGCACTAAGCTCTTGCTATGCGCGGGGTCGAGGGACGGGCCGGACTACAAGGGTCTATTGTACGCAGTCTTATCCTGTATTTTTGCAAGAGGCTGTTTCCACAGCTCGAACCCGTAACCTCACGGTGACATGACATCAATTTTACCAATTACGCCTAGGCTCCCCTTATCACTCCGTGAAATCTCAAAAACATGGTTGTTGTGAAATATTGAAGTACGACATTATTAAAAAAAACTAAGTACATGGATGAGACAATGGCGGAATAGGAGGAGCATTCAGAGGATGAGAGACATGACAACTTGGCTAAACAGGTAAGAATATTACTCTTTGTTTTATTGCCTTTGCAGTTTGTATATAAATAAACTGCTAACATTTTGGTCTAAACCATTCACCAAGAAACAACCTCTCCTCATCCACATTCTTCAAACTCACCAATCTGCCCTAGAAAAGTTAAGACAACAGCTTCAAATGGAAAATCAAATGGCGACAAACCTCGTTCGTTCCACGAGCTTGCCTACAGCAACTCATCCTCTCATTGTCAGTGCAGAGGAGCAGTTGCAAAGGTTGAAGTCATCTGAAGGAACTTCCACTTCTTCTCATTCAACAATATGCCAAAAATTGGATGGACTCAGAAAATTGTACGATTGTGTTAATGATGTCCTCCAATTGCCAATTAGCCAACAAGTTCTCTCCTATGAAAAACATGTTAAATTAATGGAACATGTCTCTAACGGTTCCCTCAAGGTTTTGGATACCTGTAGCATCACTAAAGACGCTTTCTCACAGATGAAGGGACGTGTTCAACTACTCGAGTCATGTCTACGTAGAAGGAGAGGTGGAGAATTCAGCTTATCAAATGAAGTCGACGCATACATGGCATCTAATAAGAAACTCAACAAAGTGATTTGCAAAGGTTTCAGAGATTTGCATAAGAAAGAAAATGATCAGACAATAGTAATGGAGGAATCTGACCTTAAATCATTGGTTAGTCTAATTAAAGGACTTGAAGATGTTACTCTTACAGTATTGGAGTCAACTTCATCTTTCATTTCCAAAACAAAGATGAAATCAAAGCAGAATGGTTGGCCTGTGGTCTCAAAGTTATTAAAGCCAAAGAGAGTTTCATGTGAAGGAGTTGAAATATCTGAAGTTGAGAAGTTAGACATGGAGTTGCTTCTTCTACGTAACGAGAAGATAGATAATTCACAGATATTAAGTGCACTTAAAAAACTGCAGGTATTTGAGTCAAGCATTCAAGAACTGGAGGATGGGTTGGGAGCTATTTTTAGGCTTCTCTTGAAAACTAGAGTTTCCCTTCTCAACATTCTCAGTCACTAAATTTGCGCTATGATTAGTATATGGGGTTCCAACTTTGTATATACTATTTATCCTAGAGAGTACAAGAAATTCTACAATTTTCAGCTTTGGATGTACAATTCTGTTATATGTAATATAGCAAGTGTAACAAATTTTGTCAGAAAATATCCTTCAATATATGCAGATAATATTCATCAATAGTCTATTTTATATTTTACTATCTTCAAACCTTCTCTTTGAAAACAAACTATTGTAGAATTACAGTCAGACCTCTCTATAACAACCTCTCTATAACAGTATCCTTATATAATAGTCATTCACTATAAAAGGCGAGTTTTTCTCGGAAACGATTATTATGTTATGTTATTTTTTATGTCCTTTATAACAACACTTCATCATAGCAGCCAAAAAATATCGGAACAAACGAGGTTGTTATAGAGAGGTTTGACTAGTTGTATCTAATACGTAGTGCTAAAACATGAAGATCAATTAATTAATGTTTATCATTTGTTACTTAACTGAAAGGATTCCACTTGTTTCCTCACAAGTAGAACAATGGCACAGTCATTTCTTCTCATTTCTGTGTTATGGCCTGTCTTGCAAAGCTTTTCAGGAAAACTTCAAATGGTAGCCCAAAAGGACCTTCTACTGCAAGTGTGACAATCCTAAAGAAAAAAAAAACCAATTTAATCAGACTTCACATTCCACCTAAGCATGTTATAATGCCATTTCCAAGAAACAGTCGCACAAGTTTCCAGACCCCACCTGTGGGATTACACTGGGTTTATTGTTGTTATTTGCATTCGCACAAACTTACTACTGCAAATAATGAATAGATTCAGGAACTGGTACACAGAACCGTACACAAATCTAGCCCCTTGGCAGTTGGCATTTGAGCAGATTACATATATCTCAAACGTGTGCAATTGATATAAAATAAATATGACAGGCTTTCAAGATTCTTATTGCTCCCTCAAATCTCAAAAATCAGCTCAGAAACATATAATAATGCTGCAATCTTTTGCTCGGAAACTGGGTGGTAACCCTGGTGGTTAAAAGAATATTCAAGTATTTTATTATCAAAACAATGTACATGAATGAGAAAATAATATTTGCACAAAAGAAAGAGCATTCAGAGGATCAGAGACATGACAACTTGGCTAAACAGGTAAAATTATTATCTCTGTCTTCAACTAGCTATATATAAATTGTTAACATCTTGATCCAAACCATTCCAAGACCCTACCTTTCATCATCCACATTCTTCAAACTCATCAATCTGCACTAGCAAAGTTAAGATAAGAGCTTCAAATGGAAAATCAAATGGCGACAAACCATGTTCGTTCCACGAGTTTGCCTACTGCAACTCATCCTCTTATTGCAAGTGCAGTGGAGCAGTTGCAAAGGTTGAAGTCATCTGAATTAACTTCCACATCTTCTCACTCTACAATATTCCAAAGATTGGACGGTCTTAGAAAATTATACGAATGTGTTGATGATGTCCTCCTTTTGCCAATCAACCAACAAGTTCTCTCCCTTGAAAAACATGCCAAATTACTTGAACAAGTCTCTGATGTGTCCCTCAATGTTGTCGATACCTGTAGCATCGTTAAAGATGCTTTCTCACAAATAAAGGAACGTAAATATTTCCGAGATCTTTTGAACCACACAGAGAAGAATTACACAATAGTGATAGACGACTCTGACTTAGCATCATCGATTAGCTTAATCAAAGGAGTTGAAGAAGTTAGTCTTACAGTATTGGAATCAACTCTATCTTTCATTTCAAATCCAAAGATGAGATCAAAGGCAAGTGGATTGTCTTTGTTCTCTAAGCTGTTGAAGCCAAAGAGAGTGTCATGTGAAGGAGCTGATATCTCAGAAGTAGAGAAGATAGACATGGAATTGCTTCTTCTTATTCAAAGTAAACAAACAGATCATTCACAAATGCAAAGTGTACTTAAAAAACTCGAGACATTTGAATCGAACATTCAAGAATTGGAGGACGGATTAGGAACCATATTTAGGTATCTTCTAAAAACCAGAGTTTCCCTCCTCAACCTTCTTAACCACTAATCATATGTCTAAATGTTTGTTAATACTACTGTAATCATAGAGAGTTGTTCTCACACCAATTATTTCTCTGGTTCTCTCTCAATGTTTTTGTTATTCGGATCTGAAAGAATGAGTAACCACTCAAGATTTTTAACATTAACTTGTTAGTATTGAGTGGCCAAATTTTAAGTTGAAACTATATAACAACAACAACAGCAACAACAAGAACTACGCCTCAAACTAGCCTGTAATTTTGTCCAGTATAAAATAGCGCACACGCATAAAATTACTAATCGTATATTAAAACTTGGTGCAACAACATGAAGATCAATTAATAATGTTTATCACTTGTAACTGAACCAAGTAGAACAATGATCTAGGCTTAAGCAATCCAAGTCATTACCAATTTGGCCTTTCTATTGGTCTTGGATGATTCATATTAACTCACTAATGTGTTATGGCCTGTCTAGAATTGTATTATTTCCTCTTCCAACTATTGACAGAGCAACTTTAGGTTGTATTCAGTCTTTTTTGACGTTATACTTTGGGTGTTTTCCTTTGACACTAACTGACATGTTATTATATCTATACTAATAATGCTGTTTGGATTGTTTTGCATCATTTTACTATTTATCACTTTATTTATTACCCGTCCTCATAAGAAACGAATTCCAGGTAGGTCAAGTGGTCAACGCATCATGTTCGGAAAAAAAAAAAAGAAGAAGAAGAAGAAGAAGAACCAAGATTTGTTACACTAAAAGACAACGAGAAAATATATGTAGTCATGTTGGAAGAATTTTCTTATTCATGGTCAGAATATAATCTTAATGGAAGATTTCATGTCTTAATTAACAGAGAAAACAAAAACATAAACAGTTGTAAGTACTCTAAAACCATGTTGAAGTTCGCTAAATCATGTTGTTTAATTATTAAGAGTGGTGGATGGATAGGATCCCTTTATCCTTAATCAATGGTTTCGGGTTCGAGTCCTGAAATTGAAAATTAATAAGGAATGCTTTCTTCTTTGGTGAGTCCTACGTAAAGCGAATTCAAATTAATCGGGACCCCAAAGTACAAGATATTTTTGGGAAAAAACAATTTAATTAAGCACCAGACTGGCGTTGCTCTTCCTCCTCGTGCATGCATCTTATTAAATAACTGTTCTAACTTAATTTTTGAACAATATATTACAAAAATATACTATCAACTAATCAATCATATTTATATATTTCTTCCTTCTTTTGTCTTCCCCTTTTGGGAGGAAATTTCCTTGGGGACAATACATTTAGCTCCTTAGCTGTTGCCAATTAGAAGCCAAGTAGTATCCGTACAAAGAATCCTGTCCTTTTCCCTTAGAAATCACGTTCTAATCCATTTCTACATAAACTATAAAAAGGGTACAAGTGCAAAGCATTACTCTACCCAGTCTCATCCCAATTCAAAAGTTTGAAGTTTAAACCTAGCCATTTTCTAGTCTATTTCAAGAAATTGCACGAAAAGAAATACAATGGCACTACCAAATTTTGATGCTCTAAGAGACATGCACAACTCAGCCAATGACTTATTGCTTCATTCACCACTGATCAAACGAGAAATCGCGCATCACGGACAAGAAAAATGGGTCCTCGAAGTTTCTGAGACATCGCTAAGAATGCTCGATGTTTGTAGCACCACAAAAGATGTAATTTTGCTCATCAAAGATCATCTCTACAACCTCAAGTCCACATTCAGAAGAATTATCTTTGGCGAAAACAAGTTTGCAGCTTACCATTGTCAACGAAAGAAGTTGAAGAAAGAAATCTTGAAGCGTTTGCATTCCTTAAAGGGAATGAAAAATCATTAGGCTCGAACCAGAGATGAGTGAAAGACAATGAAAATAATTTAGTGGTAGTTGTGATTGTGCTAAGGGAAGTGAGAGTTGCTACTATGTCTATTGCGGAGTCATTGATGTCACTTATGTCAATGCCAAGTCCGAATAATAAGAAATCAAATAAAGGGTATTTTGGATCAAAGTTAATGAGAGTGAACAGCTTTAGTTCATGGGAAAAATGTGATGAAATGACGCTGCAATGTGCGAATAAAAGATTGGAAGCAGTGGAAATTGGCATTGAATATCTTGAAGGAGAATTAGAGTGTCGCTTCTCAATATACTCACATATTAGAAATGCCAGTATAAGATCACTGCAGAGCTCAATTGAAGCAATGACTGCAGATGGTGAATCTAATACTGGATTGATATTGAGAGTTTAGATAAAACTAATTGTAACTTATTAGACTTGTAGCTAATTGTATCACTCAATTCTTTTATTTGTTTCTCAATAAAATATAGCCAATCCCTTTTACATATATTAAACGCCTTCCTGTGTCTTCTTAATTCTAAACTTCAGGATACTATAACTTAACTCTCCTGTCGTTCATTTCTTATTAAGCATCACTACTTTAGGAACCTTTGATGTTGTCCCAAAATGGCTTTAACTTTTTAGTGGACAATTCAAATTTAGGTTGCGAGAGGAGCTTTGGAATAACAGTAATATTTACGTATGACCTACAAGTCACGGATTTGAAACTAGTCACTAATGCATGCATTGAAATAGACTATCTATATCATACCCTTGTGGTGCAACCATTCCTCGGACCCTAAATGCGGAATACTTTTTGCACCGTGCTACTTTTTTTTTTTTTTTTAAGGTTACATGGTTCTTAATTCTTATCCATTTTGATACAAATTCTAGTTATATACTCGCACACGCTTAAATTTAACTTTTAACCTACTAGTACAGAGCACTGGTAATGTATAAAAATTAAATCTTCATATTAACATCATCTGCTACTGTTAATGTTTGATAGAAGGCTTCTTTAGAATTGAGTCAATTGACGCTACAAATATAAAATACTAGAAAGCGTCAACTAGTTCTATTTAAACTAATCCATGAAATTACGCTTAGAATTTTCGATGCACATTCTCTATATCCCTCAAAAGGCATACACCATCACCCCTGTTAAGGCGCCCAACGATGCACCATTCTGAAGTTAAATCAACAAAGAGAACTGAACAGTGCAAGAGAAGCAAAGCAGTTCAATCATAATGCAAAATATGATTCAAGAGTAGATTAAACTAAGCATCTTATGAATCAAGTGACATCCATAAAAAGTTCTCCAGTTCATAGGATTTATTGAACACAAAATACAACTGTTTTGAAAGAAATTCATTAGAGTTTTCCAAGAAAATACATCGATATTGAGCATATTGGTTTATAATCCTGCCACAGCTTCGGTTTATAATCCTGCCACAGCTTCCCCAGCACATCTGCAAAATCAATTAGCATGATTCAGCAGAACGGCTTAGTTAAACAAAGAGGATGATAGCTCAAGACTTTGATGGTTAATAGCATCCTACTTGAAGATAATCAACATCTCAATACTAGCAGTGAAGATCTGATCATATGCAAATAAAGTAGAGATTGTGCAAAAGGTGGGAATATGCTGGCTGGTGGTGATATGATCTGGCAGCAATCAAACACATCAGATGTACCAGTCATTCTTCTGAAGAAAACAATTTTGACATGTATCTCCCTATGATTATGGTTATTTTTTGATAAAATAAGGAATAATCTCTCTGCTTATATAGTTACCATTTCCCAACTAGTTGCTGCTTTGCAAACTTCTTCCTAATGTCGTTTAGATGAAGACAAATGTTATGTTATTGACTTTCTTTGATATTTTAAATGTTATGTTATTGACTATACAAAAGGTTTTGGATGAGAAGCATCATTTAGCACAAAAGAATTACGATGGATCTAACCAGCCAGCATAATGTGAGAAAACGCGACCACATTCCATTATAACATTAGAAGTAGCAAAAACATTACCTAATGGTCATGACCATGGCCATGGCCATCCCAGGGATGCCTCCAGCCCTAAACAGCAAAAATCATATTAACAATTACCTAAATGTTATATAACCAAACGAAAAGGTCGGAAATGATGAAACAATATTGAGGCTCACCAACACTACAGGACCATCTTGCTTGGCCCGGTAGAGAACCCAAAACCTGAAACAACAAAAAGATTATGGTGTTAAGGATTATACCAAGTAATTCAATACAAACCTTGTAAGCAAGTATACCAATATATAAGCTCTCCCATTATTATACCACAAAAAAAAGCAGACTACAGTTCATACACCGTTCTCTATATACTAGTAATGAGTTTTCCTACCAATATTTACAGAGCATTTTAGCACATTAGTTTATACTTAAGGGATATAGCATTTAAGATATCTGTCCTGCTGCATACCTTCTGGCTATTGCTTACCAAATGAACAACAACAACAACAACAATACAGTATAATCACACTAGTGGGGTCTGTGAGGGTAGTGTGTACGCAGACCTTACCCCTACCCTGGGGTAGAGAGGCTGTTTCTGATAGACCCTCGGCTCCCTCCCTCCAAGAACTCCCCACCTTGCTCTTGGGGTGACTCGAACTCACAACCTCTTGGTTGGAAGTGGAGGGTGCTCACCACTAGAGCAACCCACTCTTGCTTACTAGATGAACGTAAACCAAAAATGCAAAACTTTAGGGAAAGGCAGCACTAATTAAAATCAGCAGCTATTTCTCTAATTAAAATTTTCAGTGCTTCAAAAGTTTCAAAATTAGCAGTTCAGATAATGTCAGGTAAAGCCATATTTCACAAGTTAATCCCCAATCCAATTGGTATAAGCCTCTCATCATATTGCAGCAGGAACATTAATTTTGAAATCATATTGCAATTGGTATAAGTACCAGATCTTTGTTATTCCACATAATGTTATTCTAACCAATAGTATTAGTTCTATACTTAAAAAAAAAAAGGAGCAACCCCCGGGGAAGGGCCTAATCACACGGGTCTATCGTACGCAGTCTTACCCTGCATTTCTGCAAGAGGCTGTTTCCACGGCTCGAACCCGTGACCTCCGCCAAGGCTCCCCTTCAATATTAGTACTATACATGTATTTCTTATTTCTAGATCTTTGTTATCACACGTAGTGTTTTTGTTTATTTCATGCTGTTGTCATTATTGGTTGCTTCTTATTCACTGTTTCTTAAGCCAAGGGTCTATCAGAAACAACCTCTCTACCTTCACAAGGTAGGAGTAAAGTCTGCGTACACACTACCCTCCGCACACCCCACATGTGGGATTACACTGGATTTGTTGTTTTTTATTTATTTATTGCAATTGGTATAACTCCGCATGGGGTGAACTTGGCCATATTGCCAATCTCAACCCCCGACAAAGGAGGGTTGTAGTAGGTTGAGGGCCAGTGTGAAAATAGTCCATTCTTGATGAATCTTTTTCTTTTGATAGGTAAGATAAATATTTCATTACTACAAAGCAGCACACAGGAAGTACTGATATACAAATGCACAGCAAACACGCTAAGCATATAGAGTACTTACAAATCCAATCATATCATCTGTCTCATATATATTTTTGTTTACAGCAAAAAACTAGTTTCTGTAAGCATATAAAATTCAGTCTACGTATAGGCAGAGCTATCCCCTTGAGGAATCTTCAATTCCTATCCATCTTTAAAGCCCACTGAACACAAGCTGGAACAGCGAACAATATCACTTCAATATAATTCCAAGTTCATCACATGGCCATGTAGAGACAATATCACTTCAATATCCAACTCATAAAGAAGTGTTAATTCAATAGACACTCAGAATACAGGTTGTCCAAATGAAGCAAAACAGATAGAGTATTCATATAGCCGACCCTAACTAGCTTGGGATGTTATTGTTATTGTTGTATTGTAATTGATCCTTTTTTCCCAGACATTTTTTCATGAGGAAGACTTATGCTCAATGCTACTTACGTACACTTATGTGTGCCACATTACAGACAATATAATGCTAAACATATGCACTCACTATACGAGCCTTGTAATTGTCTTAAGTTTAATACATTTAACAGGTCTTAACCAGTTGAATAGATAAATCAGTTGAACTTCGTTCAGAGTAAATGTCATCCTCAACACTGAAAAAAACACTTTTCAAAATACAAACTTTCCTTTTAGACATGTATTTTATATAAGAAAAAGAGGTAATCACTTCATCATGCACTGCATTTCTTAATCATGCATGATCAAGAAAAAAAATTAGATAGAATATAAATTTTCTTCAGAACTAGCGAAGTTTGGATATGTAGAGCGACTTCTCTCGCAATACCATCACTATAATTGAAGACAGTTTTGTTTATAGAGTTATGTAATATCCCAGGGTTCAATTTTAGAACATAAACAATTCGACGAATTAAAATAGGGCATAAATCAGATCAGGGAGAAGAAAAGGGGGCATGAAACCTATAATTAACAAAGTAAACTATACTCTTTTTTTGATAAGTAGAACATGTAAACTACACTCTGAGATAACCGAATCACGCCCCGCTCGTCCTTGTGATAGCAACTTGTAATACTTCAAAACAAATAACTTTAAGCTATAATCTAGTTTTTCTTCTAACTCGCTCATCCAACAATAGATCGTTATGCCCCTTGACCTGATAAAACCGACAATTTCTTTACTTTGAAAAGCAACCCAATATGCCGTTATCTCAAACCTTGGGAGCAAAATTACAATTTCACCCACATCAAGGAAGCAAGAGATGATTAAAGAGCAAAAAGGCTTCTTCACTCAATAGCACATGAATGCAAAACAAGCAGCATCATATCTTAGCCAATCAAACCCCAAAATGTCAACCATCAACACATGTTGCTACACACTTAGACATATATAGTTCAATGCAGAGAAGAACAATGAACCCCACAAAGAAAGATTCAATTCTTACTCAATACCAAAGACAAATCAGATTGATTAACAACAAATCCAACATCAATCAACCAACCTAACTACACCTCAATCTCAAATTAGCTGGCACCAGCTAAATAAATCCTTTATATACATTTCATTTCAACAACGAGAAATCATATGTATCTAAGGTAAAAACCTACTACTCATTTTTATCCCATTCCATAAGGTTCCCCAATTTCAATTCCAAGCAGTCTAATCCAATTCATAGATCTATGATCCAAAAACACTACAATATCAAATTCATAGCTCGTAAATTCAGTCGAGAAGAGGAAATGAAATGAGAAGAGAAATGGGGCTAGGGTTTGGGAAATTACCACATAACGGCACACAATCCCTTTCCGGTGACAGAGTGCCAACGCTTAGGTTGATGAATAGTAATTCCTTTATATGTTACGCCATGTCCGTGTCCCCCTCCCATTTCTTCTCTTCCTTTCTCGAAAATGCTTCAGTTCCCGCAATGGCTGAATCGGTGACTTCTAGAGCTTTCCGAATAAACTGTTAGAAGAGCTATTCGGGTTATGGGCCTGTTTTCTCTTCCAAAAGAGAGAAATGAACCACAAGTCCCTGAAATATTTTAAGAAGTCAATTTAATCCATCGCTTTTGATTATATTACTTTTGATACCCCTCTTAACTTGGATAATATTTGGTTGATGTTAAAAAATACCTATTTGAATTAAATTAGTTAATTTACGAATGTTCGGACGTAAACTTCATTTGAAAAAGTATGTCAAAATTAACGATTTGTTAGTTGGAATAATTTTTTTATTTGAAAAACTTTTTCATATAATTATGGTATCCGGACTAGCTTGCGTTTTTTATCACCTAGTGATTTTGTCTCTGTGAGCACCTAATTTTTGACTATTTGAATTTTTACCACCTTCTACTATGTAAATATTTTTAGAAATTTAATATATATTTTTTTATCTTTGTTATATATTTTTTAATATAGGGTAAGAATTAAAAATAATTTAAAAGGTCAAATTATTATTTTTAGTATTATTTTTATTTTTTATCTTTATTTTAAAATAAAATAAATAAATAAAAAACCTCAATTCTTTTTTTAAAATTTCGGATGGGAATAAAATAATAGTAAAATTAAAAGTATGGAATAAAAAATTAAAAATAAAAGTAGGTGGAAATTAATTTTTTTTTAAAAGTAAAAGAAAGTGAAAAATTAAAAAAATAAAAGTAAAAGAATGTGAAAAATTAAAAAAATAAAAGTAAAAGAATGTGAAAATTAAAAAAAATAAAAAGTAAAATAAAGATAAATTAAAAAATAAAAGTAAAGGTAGCTGAAATGTTTTTTAAAAAAAGTAAAAGAAAGTGGAAATTTAAAAAAAAAAAAAAAAGAGTAAAATAATTGAAAAAACAAAAAAGTATAGAGAGAGAAAAAAAAAGAGGAGGGAATTGAGAGAAATATTATTTACGTTTTCTACGCTAAGGGAATTTATANATTAAAGTAAAAAAAGTGGAAAATTAAAAAATAAAAGTAAAGGAAAGTGAAAAATTATATTTTTTTTAAAAAGAAGAAAAATGGGAAGTGGAAATTTTTTATAATTAAAAAATAATAAAATAATAAATAAATAAATCTGAAAAAATTTTGAATTTTGTTTTTCCTATAAATAGAAGAGAAATAAGGAGAAAATGGGAGAAGGAAGGAAAAAATAGAGGAGAGAATTGAAAAAAAAAATCTTCTTCTGCGCTAAGTGAATTTCTACTCGTTTCATTATTTCTTTTGAAAATTCAAGCAATTCATCACCGTGTTTAAGACCTAAAAATGCCTCATATTCAAGCCTAAAAACACCTTGTGAAACTTCATTGATAGTCACCTCTCTCATGCTAAAAACCAGCAGCCTCACGAGGTACAGTCGAGTTTCGGTCCGGGCTCGAATTTTAGAAGGTTCGTCGCTAGATTTTTTGCTCATCTGCCGATTTGCCCTTGGTTTGGTGTATATGCTCGGCTCAGAATTGTTTTTGCATTAATCAAGTTCTGAAGGAAATTTTTTGCTTAAAGGTTCATTGCTTATCCTCCATTTGTTAATTATTTCATTGTTTTGTGTGATGTTCTTATAGAGGTTCATGTGATAATTTTTTGTGTTGTTTTATTTATACACATTATCATGTTGTAGTTTTTTTTTTACATGTTTCAAACGATTTGTCAACATATTATTTGAATAGGATTTCATCTTAATGAGATTTGATATTTAGAATAAAGAATGAAGATCTTGTCATATTAATAGGCCATGCATTGGAGTTCAAGTAAGTGAACCAGAAATGAGTTACCACATTTAATAGGAAAGAAAAGAATTAGACATGGGTTGGATTGAGTATAAATATGTCAGGCCCAATAATTTTGTCACTGGACTAATTAGCTCATTCTTCCATAATGGATAAATGTCTCCTAATTTAAAAGATAGAGTAGTAAGTTATAAATATTTCTAAGTGTGGATGACTTTTTAATACTTTAAATAATTAATATATTTTCCTACTTTCAAATAATTTCCTATCCATAAACTCTTGGTCTTATAATAATTTCAAATTAGTTTAGGAAAATAATACAAGTGCGCATTCACATGACTTGACCAATCAACTTCGAATAATAATAAATGTATTATTGATTGTGTACACGTACGCGTGACATGATTCTTGATGCCAAACAAAAATGAGTACACGTACGCGTGCCTTATTTCAAGATAATTTTTATAAATCTAATTAAGCAATAAAAGCGTACATAGGTAAAATATGAGAACCAATAAAACACAAGTTATCCAAAAATCATATAAGCCAAATGTAGTCAATAAAGCGACTGTGCTAGAACCACGGGACTCGGAGAATGCCTTACACCTTCTTTCCGGTCAACATAATTTCTTACCCGGATTTTATTTTCGTAGACCAATAATAATAGAGTCAAACCTTCCTTTGACTAGGGATTCAAATAAATGGTGACTTGGAACACCCAAAAAATCAATTTCAAGTGGCGACTCTGTAAATAAAATAATCTTTACTCAAATTTGTCACTTTAATTGGAAAAACTCTTTAACCCACAACAATCCATAATACATATATCTTTTTGGGGGTAAAAAGGAGGTGTGACAGCGTCGGATAACATTTGAATCTTAGATCGCATGGTTCTCAACCAAGCTCATTGATAACTACACTACACCCTTGGGTTCTATTTCACTTTAAACATTTCTTAAATCATATTCAATATATATATATATATATATATATAAAGAGACATGTAGTATTTTGAAGCATAAAAGTATTTGGATTATTAGTAGATTATGACATACATCAATATAATATCTATATATATATATATTTGAGAGACTTAAGTCCAGTTACGTGGCATGCCTCAATGCACGGGGATTGCCTTTTTCTTTTCTCTCAATTTTTTTGTGCTTCCTCCTATATTTTCCCTTTTACATTCAACATATCTCCCGAATCTATCCCAGCGACCACTGTGTTGAAGCATTATCGCAAGTATTGCCATTGAAATTCACTTGTTGAAGCAATTTCAAACTTGAAAAAATAATTTCTTATCTTCAAATTGTATAAAAATCTGCTATATCTTCGAAGCTGATTAATTACGCTCCACATTCATCTGCAATCGGTGTTTTTCTATAAGAATTTTGTTTTGAATTTGTTGAGTTTTGCTGTAAAAGCATAGCAAATATTTGGTAGAGATGGATACGGCAGAAAATTCGGTGTCCATTGCGTCTTTTATTGTTTGTAGATAGTAGCGTATCTCTATTTTGTAACTGAAAATAATTTTGTTACTTGAATCACAAGTTTAATTAAGGAAACCCACAGCTGGAAGGATGCTAGTTTAAGAGATTGTATATAATTTGTAACCAAATCTTGTTTAGGGGGGTAATATACAAAATTTGGATAATTTTAATAAATAAGCTTCAAATATTGTATATGAAGAAAAAATTCCTTTGTTTTTTGACTCGTGATATCTCTCTTTGGTTTGTAAATTAAAAATTTTGCTTGCCAAAAAAAAATAGTGCTGTAAAAAGTAAACGCTTAAATTATTTGGGAAACCCAAACGTTTCCTCTTATAATGGTTTCCAACCATTTCTAACAAGCCCTTTATTCTAAGTTGTTACTCTTTCCTTTCTTTGCAATTTGGACAACCCTAGCCAATGTCAAAATTGCATCACATATGGTGATCTGAATTGAAATCCAATAGTTGCCATTCAAGTTGGTAACTTAAGCGACAAAAAGGGTCGGTAAATGAAAAACTGAAAGTATATTTTGCAGATTGTTCTTTATTTTTTTCTCTCTTGATTTTTTTTAATTGGAAAAATAATTTTTGATTGTGATTTCAGTAGAAGTTGTCACAATAATTTCAAGCTTTTCGTCACTTGACCTCACTTTTTTGGTGCTTCAATCACAAAGGAGAAGAGAAGTATTTTTTTTCCAGTAAAAGATCAACCACTATTATCATTACTTGGTAATGTTTTTCTTCTCCCCTTTCTCTTCTAAGTTAATTTTTGCACCAAGATCTATTTTTACTTAATTACTGTGTCTACTGCCCGAATTTACTTCACTTAGACACTAACATAAACTTGCGAGTAATAGTTTTAATGATACATATTTTATCATTCCCACCCGATGTTTACATCAACTCAGAGAACATCTAATATGTTTCTTTACATAATCTGTTAGTACTTACTTATATTCGATCAATATGAATTTTTAGATGGAAAGTAGACAAATGCATATTAATTTTGCTGATTCTTTTGCCGATCTTATTTTATTTAATTTTTGTGATAAATGACAAATGGTGTTGATTTTGTGACAGACAAATAGTGTTGATTTGTGACAAAATTTAACATCGGAAGCACAAGGTAGACTGGTGGTAGTGATGGTGGCTCTACCCCTACTTCTTCCATTGAGGTTTGTCCTTTGGGTAATTCCATAAAAAATGATATTTCTGTATTTTTTACTTTTCTTGAATTTATTGGTTTATACTTTTTGGTTGGATTGTATAAGGATCATGTTTTACTTTAAGCCTGAAACTTTACTTTAAGTGCAGTAAATTTGATAATCTCTTTCTTACGGTTGATATGTCATTTGTATATACAAATTTTGGACCCAAATGAAGATACATTATGTGCTACTCAAATGGAAATACATTCTCCACTTATTTATCATCATTTAAAGTCTTTCAAGGATCTATTTATCTTTCTTCTTAAATATTTTGCCTTTGTTCTATTTTCTAGATATATTGATTTATTATTTAAAAGAAAAAAACTAATTTGATATATCTCTTCTAAATATGCGTCCAATTTAAATAAGTAACCTCTACCTGTGATCCTTCCTCCATTTAAACTTATTATTTCATAACTTAATTACTTCCATATTCATCCGTTTAGATTGCTCATTATTTTGATTCGCTTCTAATATGTTCCTTTGTTGTTCAAGTCTACTGCTTGACTTTTGAGGTTTTGGTTCTCATACCCGCATTTCAAAAGATTAATTTTTTGGATTGACATTGCTGCATTCATTGATATGGATTTAGAAGTTTCACTTTTTCATCACTTTTCAACATGATCAAAGGGCCATGAGCCCATGAGAGTCTCGTAAGGTTTAATTGATACAACCTTTTATTTTCCTTATTGGTTGGTATATATATATATATATATATATATATATATATATATTTTGCTGCTTCCTGCATTTCTTTGTTAGTTTACACCAGTCAATCATTACAAATTTGAGAATGGATATTTCATAAGATCTCTACACAGAGTTTCTTGCTCTTTAGTTATCCTAATTATGAGTTTATGTTTTGATGTTAAACAATATTCTAGATTCCATCTTTGGTATGACTTTGCGTTTATTAGATTTTCTTTTTGGTTGTTTATTTTTTATATTTATAGTTTAAATTACGTAATTGTGTAGGAATGTGTGTTTTATGCATGTTAGAATTGGATACATTCATCATTATGCTATTCAAATTTGGTACAAATTTTTTGCACTTCAAATGGTGTTTTATCTCATGTGTCTATGTATTAAATTTCTTCTTTTTCACTTTTTATATCAGGTTTTGAGAGAGTATGAGTCGCTAGGGGTACTCCGGTAAAATTCTTTACTCTTTGTCATTTTCCATTCCATTTGGATTTCACAGTGTTCGTCTTCAAATTGATATTCGATTTTGGCAAGGTATGAGTTTAAGCATATGGATTTGGGTGAAACTTTTATATCTTCTTCTTCTTCTTCTTCCTCCTCCTCCTCCTTACCATTTGGATGTCACAATATTTTTTTGAGAGTGATTTACAAGAGACAAAGATTGAAAAAAAGGAAAACTAAGATAATTATGTTACGTTGTATGATTGTTGAAAAGATAGAAAGCACAATCAATAAGAATTATCACTCTCTTCACCTTTCCTTCTTAAGGTAATAATCTAAATAGTGACTAACTATAAAAAAAAAAATGGATGAAGAAAGAAAAAATGAAAGAAAGATATGAAGTGGCGGGGAGGGGAGAGGTGGTGGGTGCAAAAGGATCCAAATAGAGTTTCAAAGATAATAGATCGGATACTTAAAGTGGGAAAATACGTAGGTTTCTTATGATGTTCAGCAGTAGTACATAAGCCTTGATAGAAACGTAGCAAAACATATTTTTTCAGTCTATTTCTCAAAATATTTCACTATCATCAAATAACCAATAATTTATTTATTATCTCTTTTGGATTTGCATTATATATGATTTTATTCTCATCTCTGTGTGTGTTTCCTCACTTGGTGTTTCGAGCTTATTTTGGCAGTAGCGGGGACGGTGTTGATATCTCTATTTTTAGCCTATTAATTTAATAGCATGTAAGCTTTCTTTCTAATCATAGATCTCATGGGTTGCATGTTAGTTTCCTCAAACATACTTTTAGACCTCTGTCATTTATATAGCTCTCTGCTCTATTCGCAGTGAGCGAAAAAAATTATTAGTAGCTCCATTTCATGTTTAAGGTCTAGAAGTTCAAATGATCATTTAATTGATGCCCGTCTAATGGGTTGGAGTTCAGACTTATATTGCTTCCATGTTAAAAATGAGAGTTGAATCCAAAGGTTTAAAGGATTTCAAGGGATCAAAAAGCTCGAGTACCTTATAGCTTCATGATTCCTTGATCTTTTTTTTGTTCGATATTGTACAATGCTTGATAATTAATATTATTCAAGTACAAAAGGTAAACCTTTAATATTCTGACAAGGTTTTCCCTAAATTAGATGTGTTGATCGAGAACTCTTCCTGCTACCTTCTCCATATCTTATTAATCTTGAAGTTGAATGTTCTGCACTTAGTATTAAAGTATAGAGGATCTCTTGGTTTTTTGCTTGATGTTTCGTAACATAGAGCATATTTATAGTGCAGTCTTACTTGGATGATGTTACTGCAACTTAGTAACGAAATAAGTACTTTTTTATGCAGGGCTACAACTGAACATTCAAATAATTACCCTCCAAAGCAACAACAAACTGTGAGACACCCGAGAAATGGGAAATAGTCATGTAGTAAATATTACAAAGACCATAAACAGCTTACAAAATGTCTGACAAGAAATAATGAAGTCTTGTAACTTTTGTTGAAAGAAAATGCATATATTACCGTTGAAACAAACTCAAATTATCAAGTTAGTACTAAAGTGAGGAAGATGTTGCGAGAAAAGCTTATAATCATCACATAATCCAAACAAATATGTATCATTATTTTTTTGATCAGTAATTGTATATTATTCTTCAGTTAACACGCCCAGAAAGAATATGCAGTTTTCATGATTTCTATATACACTAAACATTAAACTCATATGGCAAAAGGTGAATTTTGTTGCTCTTATATTCATTTCAAATGCATTACCTCCAATTGTCACTTTTATTACAAAGATGTTGAGAGATCAAAGCATTTAGTAAACCTTCTAAAGCACTAAGATATCTTTTATGCTACATTTGATTCTTCAGTATATACTTCCTCAGATGATATGTTAGTGACTTATTTAATTCTTAAAGTCACAATTTTAGTTGTAGTTTCAAGTGAATGTTCAATTGGTTTAATGATAGTTGTCTTATCATTCTGCTGAAAAATTTATATCTCCAATCTCTACTGTTAAAGCTAAATGATATATTTAGAAATTTAAAAAGGTATTTTACGATCGCGCGAACAAATTATCTAGTATAAAATACAAAGAAAACAATTGGAGTCTCTTCTGGAATAGCAGCCGCTCTTTCTTCTGTGAAAGTTCTCTTCCGGTGAGTTTCTCCACCTTCTTTTTTACTCTTCAGTATTGATCTTTATGGTGTTTCTATTGATGTGGTACAAATTCTATTTTCTTCTTCACCCTTTCAATGTCAGATTCTTTGATGGTATGTGATGGTGGTCTGATTTCTCTTTACCTTTTGGGCTTACATATTGTGATTTTTGTTTATGAAGCTAAAAGTTCGATCCCAGGAAAGCAGATTTTCGCATTTTCTTTCTTTATTTATTTCACATTTTTGTAGTCACAATTTGTTGGGTATTTACTATTTTCGGTTTTTTGGTGTGTATATGTTAGATTTCTTTTTTGTTGGTAATTTATTGTCGGATTCTCTACTTGCATGTGGTTTGATTTACTCACGCATGGTTCGAAATTGATACTTAGGGGCATAATTATCACCATTGACCCAGTTGTAAAGAACCGGTTAAATGGTGCTCTTCTCCTTCATTCTCAAGAGGAATCCATCAACAAACTTTGATTCTTTGCTTTTCTAATTTCATTTCATTTAGTCATTTGCTCCCTCTTCCTCTCCCTTATATTTTTTCTGTTATTTCCTCTCTGTTGGATTTCTTTATGGGTGTATCTAGGCAAGATAACATTGAACTCTACTCACATCCTATAGTTGAAATATTATATTAGTATATTACTTTTGTAAACAAAGGTTAGGATATTTAAAGTAAATTAATCATTGCAGGCCATTCTCGCTGGCGATTCTGCTAAAGAATATCCAATAATGCTATACTGTGATCGCTTCCACAATTTATTGCCTAAAGCTCATAGAACAAAATGATTAGGCGATGCTGGTTACTTTATTCGTGTGTAAGATGTTTAGGGATTTTGCATTTCCTCCAAAAAAACAAATAATTCTATATGTTAAGAACTGCTGGCTAACTTTGAGATCCATTCTTTCTAATAGGAAAAATCTTCAGAGATATTGTTACTTTACATATATAATCCTATCAGTTCTTATGTTTTTCTCTTTCTTTATCTGCTGCTTCAATTTATGTGGCTAGCAGATAAGCAAGTACTTAAAAGAAGGTCAGACTTTGTTGTTGTTTTTTTCTTTTCTGTTCCCGATATATGTTTCTGTAACTGTTTCTATAACATTAAGTGTGATATGAACCTATTTACGTGAGACAAAAAAAAGTGAACCTTTTGAATTCCGATGCCTAGCGTCCCATGATAAAAGAACGAAACTTTTTAAAATTTATTAAGAAAAGGTAATGCTATAAGAAAGGTTTGAGAAGTTAAAAACAGGGAGATGATACAAATAGGAGCTCAGGATTATTTTTGCAGTCTAATTATATTAGCAAAATGCTTGGTCCTGTTCACTGAAAGTGTTTCCACCAGTAAATCTTAATCTATCCAAACTGCTTGGCTTGTGTCCTACTCTGAACTCTACAACCAAAACTAATAGAAAGACTGAATTTTCTCTTAAAATAGGGATTATGGAGAATTAGAGAAAGATGGAAAGGTACATGTTTACTTGATACTTTTATGCTATCTGACTAAGAAAACAAGATAGTGTTATTATTCTGTATTGCTGTAATAAACAATTAAATTTTTTGGAAAAACAAAACAGAAAGTTAGTAATACTTGTTTAACGAAATAGATTCTGGAAAACAAAAACAGTATAGGAATAAATCGAGCCCACTGAATACACAGTGTGTCCTTAAGGAAATTATTCCCCTCAAGTACCCGAAGTGCTGAAATATATCCTCCCAGGATAGAACGATTTAATTCACCAGTGTATTGGTACCAAAACTCTGATGAACTGCGAACCACTCAATGGTCGTAAAACACACTGGAAAATATTGTGCAGAAGAAGAAGAAGAAGCTCAGAAAATTTCGTAAGGAAAGATTCTGGGATTCAAACTCTATTTATAGAGTTGATGGCAATGTTTCTCAAAAGGTTTGCAACCTTTCAGAAACAGCCATGGCTGTTGAAAAGGGGTGTTTAAAATATTGCGAGAAAAATATATTTAAAATAATCCGGAAAAGAAAACGGGCCTGACCGAACCGGGTCGCGGGTCATGGGTTATTCCGGATTGAATTTTTCGTTAATTATTTAATTAATTAATTAAATAATTGAAAGGAATTTTGTCCAAAAAGATTAATCAATCAATCGATCTTTGACCGAATCCGAATCCGAATCCGAAGCCGTAGCCGTAGCCGAGCAAGCGACGACGGCGCGAGGCTTGCCTTTTTCTTAACTCTTTAAGAGTTAGAAGAAGAGCAATTAT